TCCTAGCTTGATAAAACAGCACACATCATAATCTCATGGCCATTCAATGCATTTATTTCAGATGTGTTAAGCAGGACTTGCTCATATTTTTAAGGTCTGACAAGAAAATGGCTGATTAAATATAACACGCCAAACAGCCTTTAGATTGTTTTTTTCATCACAAGACTTTTAATATGTACATAGAAAGTCTTACACTAAGAGTGCTCTCTCCAGCGACACATAAAACCATTTAAAAAAACAGATTAATCAGCTTCTAAGACAGACACTCTTTCATGGACAAGTTCACTGAAATCCTCCTTTAACAACATGGCATGTCAGACATTCCTGGGACTAGTGGTTTTAATTTAGAGTGAAAATTCATGCTTTTTTTTCATCACTTTATTTACACCTCTCTAATTGGTGGAAAGTCTTTTTAGAATGTCATTTGGTGATGCAGATCTTCAGAAATCACAGCGATAAGGAGCTTAAATTTCACCGGTGTACTCTTGTTTTAATCATTTTCAACAAGTAAACATATATTTTTCTGTGGCCAGAAACAGATGAAGGGGTGCCGTAGATAAGAGCGCGATGAAGAAAGTGCACCCTGCAACTAGAAAACAAAAAACTGGATCCGTAAACTGATGAGATCTCATTTTTTGAAAAAACAGATACTCACCATTTCTAGGTAATGACTTATTTTTAAACAAAATAACAACAGATCCACACAACTATGCCCCATGTTCCCGTTCCTCCAATATACCAACACACATGCACACCCACGTTATACAAAACCCGAGTCTGTACAAGTGTTTCATTAGTAGCTATGTGGCGTTTCTGCTCATGCCATCTGTCATGAGGGGAACACTGTAATTCTGCTTTCACACAGCAGTGCAGCACTGCAGTGCAGAAATGGTAACGCTTTATACATTTCCCCAGTGCCGTGTTTTCTTCTACTGCAATTACCTCTGTCCAAATTGTGCAATAAAATTACTATACTGTTAATTAGAGGCTGTAATATAAAGACACAGACATCCTTTTGGCAGCTGATGACGTTAAAAGAAATCAGCTTATGGTTAGATAGCAGTAGAAATGCATACCCCAAGTGCTTAAAAATGCATTCAAACTCTGTAAGATAATATAGTACAATAGGCTTTTGCACAGCACACACTTTTAGTTGTCATAAAAGCACAGGTGTTACCACATTAAAATCACAGGGACAGGAGCCCAATCAGCTACGTGGAATACAGCCAGAGACATCATAAGAGAGTGACATGACACAGAGACGTTGGATCACGTCAGCATGACTGGCGCTCTGCAATGAGCTGTTAATTAAGCAATAATGCCGTGTAAGTGTGTGCTCACATAAAAAATGCCGGAAAAGAGAAACACTTTGTAGCTCTTGGACAATCACCAACGTTTTAAAGCATTAAAAAAAAAAAAATCCTATCTATTTATGGCCAAGTGACCACTGAAATTAAAATAATGGCTCTCTCCCCATTCATTTAAATAATCTCAGGAGAAGTCTTGAATACTTCCTGTGAAAGAAAACAATATGTTGCAAGTAAAAATCCTAGCCAGCAGCTGGCGACAGTTCTGGTTTGGAAGTCTTTAGGAAAGCAACTTTATTGCTCTCTTAAGCTAAGACCTCAGTACACACTTTCCCAGACATACTTGGTTTCATTTGCAAGTTTCAAGTTTTATTAAATAAACAATCGTGTTCATTTTTGAAAATTATTGTCCCAAAATGTGTCAAATAGATGATAAAGCAGGTTGCTAATGTATCAGCTCATCCAAGACAGCTGCATTCAAAAAGCTCACAGCTTCAGGACCTAACCAGTCAGTGATAACAGGATGGCTGTTTCCATCCCATAGATACTGTTTTCATATTAGATGCTTTATAATTTTTTGGTAGCAGGTAGAAAAACTGTAAGAATCCCATCATGTTGTAGATGCTAGTTGGCTAACATGCCACATTAGTTCACTAGCTTACCTAGATTACAACCTTATGTATTATGGTGCTGATTGCACACAACAATAAATGGTACAACAGGAAATATGTATTGTATTACACACAATTGCTTTTATAACCACAACTCAGAATACTAAAGCTGTCCACACATAAACAGGCATTTTGGTAAATGTAGTCTTTTCTGTGTGTTTGGCCCTTCATCCTCATGTCAACAGTGTTTTAGATAAAAACTCCTTTGAAAACTCAATTTCTGCAGAGATTTTTTATCTCATAACTTTATTTCCCTTCCTGACATCAGACTCTGCTGTTGTGCTGTTATTTGTGGGATTTTGATAGGCCGACATTTTTTTATGGTTAGGTTTATGCAACTTTTTTTTTTCCACTTTAATGTGTCTGATTATATTTTTCCAAACAAACTCAAAAAAATCCCCATTTTTAAACAACATAATAATACATCCTCTTTGAGCCAATGAATGGCAAATTAAATTTGTGGGATTTGTGGGATATGTTACTAATGCAATAATCATGCAAATGACAAATGTACAAAAGTTAGCTTTTGCTTTGTTTTTGATCGTATGTGATTGTAGACTCCTGGGCTCTTGCTATTGTTCTGTCTAGTAGTCCTTTAAGACCTCATTATCATGTCGTTTTGAGCTGCTTTATCTGAGATGTGTTCAATTTCCAAATTAAATCGAGTCTAAATTTGGGACATTGTCTAAATGTGTGGGATGCGTGGCGGCAGGGAATGAAAAACAATCTGCACACCTACAGAACGTGAGACACCTGGTCACCTGCTGCACCAATCACGCAGCAAAGGACAGGTCGCCAGCTGGGTGTAACAATGCAGTTGATATGCAGCATTAGCAGTTTCATCACAGGCAAATCAACTTTGTTGTCATTATGGTTGTACAGAAAATGTCACAGTGCAGCATGCAAGACATACAGTACATACTATACAGTAGTACAGCATTGTAGTGAGTGGACAGTCTCATGTATATCACAGTTTTGACTGACGGGATGCTTACTGGACCACGGGTGTGATCACTATTTTTTCTCTCTCAAAAAGCCTTTAAGCTGAATCGGTTTTGGCGGTTTTTCAAGAGACATAATTTTAATCAGGGCTAGAGTGCCAGGGTATTGTCAATATAATCCAGTGATGAAAAGCACCCATTCAAATAGTAAGTACAGTAAAAAAAAAAAAGCCTTACTTGTACTTTATTAAATAAGATGTTATGATACTTAAAGAAACAATAAACTTAAAACCTTAATGTTTGTTTGGGTGAAAATGTCCTGCAATCCCCATTATCATTAATCAGACACTTAATCAATGTTCTTCTGATACACCACAAATGGCATGGATGGCTATATGAAATCTAAATGATGCAAATAGCTGTTCAGTGTTTGGAGCTGTAACATGGTTAGGTACACTTGAAACACTTGACTGTTATTAATGTGTTATACACCTCATCTTTCGTCTGCCCCATCCATCCACACACTCGCCAAACTGAAGTATATCCATATAGGCAGGTGTACCCATTCACCTCTAAACACTACACCAGTATGCATTTAACACATTTGCTGCACCGGCTGGATGAATCATTCAAACATGACAAAATCAAACAAAAATGTACCGCACGAGGTGTTTTGAAGCAACTGCATTTAGAGAATAAACACGAGAAATCAGTGTTAAAATAGCAGCGGCCGTGTGACTCCAGTGCTGACATTTAGTGAACATTTAATTTGATAAGCACAGGTTGTGACTGAATGAGAGATAAGGAACATAAAAAGCATCACACTGAAGCCTATTTAACCAGATAAAAACATGATGGATTCAAGGGACTGGAAACTATCAGGGAGAGGAAATAACATTTTTTTTTCTCCAACTATCTGCTTTGAGGCTTGTCTTTGTATCCTGGCACTCTGCTGGAGTTAGAGCGCTCTCACTGCCCACAGTGCAGTTGCCGTCAGCTCTACAAATATGTAAAAGCAGCCAGTGTGACGGGGAGGAGCATGGGAACTGAATGCTGATCAACTCATTCACAGTCAAGCCGCATACCAGCCACACTGACACATTTCATCACCTGTACTATTTACCAACTTTTTATCTCTGCAACTGACTACTTCAAAAAGGAATTACTCAGAAAATATGCCTTTTTTCTCCTCCCCCACCACAGATACAATGTTCTACCAACAGTACAGGAAATGACTGAAGTTATTTTGTTCAGCTGGATGCCATCTAACTGCTGTGTGACTGCCTTTGTGTTGTCTTTGGAGCTGGGGGGTTAAAGTCTGCAAGGTATTGCTCTTGAGAAAATAAAATATATATTGCACAGCAAACAAAGCAATAGCGACAGACCTTTTTATAATTTGGTTTAAAGGATGGGTACTGCATGCATACAATATGTGAAGTGAAGGTTTCCCTGACTTTAAGTTAAAGGAAAACAGATTCAGTGTTTTCACTATTCACTTTGACTCTGTGTGTCTTTTGGAAATCGCTCTCCCCAGTTGTAAGTACAAAGTGGATGTGTGACATGCAACCACCAGTTCCCCTAACACAACTTTCATATGTCATATTTTCTAACAGTTGCAACATACAGTAGATGCTGACTTCGGTGACATTCATCAATGTTGAATGCCAAAATAAACTAAATAAATAAATAAAAAGAATTCAATGCAATGTCTCTAGCAGCGTTTTTTTTCTTCTTCTTCTTTTCTTTCACACCAATTTATCATCTCATTCAACAGTTTATAAAGAACTGGGGCGATAATTAATTGACAAAAATAAACAGCATTTAAAGATTAAGACACCAAAGGTACTCCAAGACAGAGCTGCTGCAAGGCTCAAACTTGGCAGTTTTCTTAAAGAAATAGCGGAGCACTCGGATCACACTGAAGCTGACAAAACGGATAGATTCAGCAGACAGGTTAATGGTGAGACACAAAGAGAGACATAAGATGCACAAGAGAGAGTCCAACGTTTCTTTTAACTAGTCCACTGCGAATCTCCATCCACCGCTCTCTCTTGCTCCTCTCTCTTTATCGGACCAGCACCTCACCAGCGGGCTACTTGGCTCGTGTAGTCCTCGGTGGTGGCTGGGAAGTCACTCTCAGTTTCCTTCTCAAAACCTCCTCCCACTCTCCCGCCTCTGTTGCCACCGCCTCTGTGTTTGGGCGGCCAAGGCCTGACCTGGTCTCTCTGCTCCCGCAGCCAGCGCTTCTCCTCGCGCCTCTTCAAGCGCACTTCCTGGTGCTCCCTCTGGCGGGTGAACTGGAAACGCTGGAGGAACAGGTCCTTTGCATATTCGTACAGCTGCATGTCCAAATAGTTGAGGTCCTCGATGCGTTTGCGCACAGTCTCGCTCAGGTCCACGTTGGCAGCTCGCGTGCTGTTAATCTGCGTGAAGGCAGAGATGAAGCGCAGGCTGAACGTCCGCTCAAACAGGTACTGGGTCTTACGCTGAAACTCGGTCAGGCCGTAGAAAGCCATGTTCTTCAAGTTGCTCATGGCGCTGCTTAAAAGGATGTGGTTGCGCTGGCTTTCGTTCATGGAGGACAGGTTGTAGCAGCCCACCAGGCTCAGGTCAGCCAGCATGCGGACCTGACGGTTGTTCGCCAAGTTCGACTGGCAGTTCATGAACTCTGTCAGGGTGACGCCAGACCAGTCATCCCCACTGTAGCAGGTGGGCAGCTCGTCCTGGGTGGGTGAACGTCCATCACACATATGGAGGGCGGTCTTCCATGTGGCTCCTCTCTGGACATGTTTCCACTCGCTCAGGTAGCGGGAGACTGGGTCGCGCAGCATGGTGATGTAGTAGAAGTTCCTGCAGCCAAAACAAACACAGTTAAAGAGCTGTGAGCGCATCACTATCACAGAGGGTCGCCCTGCATTGTGCTGACAGATGGTGACTTTTGTCTGAGCATAAAACTTCAAGGTTGAATGCTAATTGGAAAACTGAAACTCTCACTAATGAGGTTGTTACAGTTGGTTTCTATATATTGCCCTTGAAAATTGAACCCTTGCACCGGAGCAATGAATTTACAAAACTGAAATAGGGCTGTTTCCATTCCACAGATTTCTTCCACCTGCCAACACAGAGAATAATTGGGATTCAAGACACAGAATAACCCATAGTCATGGAGAAAGTGGGTAAAACTGACCCAGCTAAATCCTAAACATGTCATTTTTGCAAAAATAATGAGGTTTCAGCTGTCGCGTTTGAAATCTGTAGCACATTTAAATGAGTATCCTGTTGTTATCAACAGCAGGGCTTATAGAAGAGAACACATCTGATTTTCTTTTTTTTTTTGTTTGCTGATGAACAAATGGTAAACACCCCCACACACAACCCAAGTGAAAATGCCAGTGAAAATGTCATTTTCACTCAATATGGAAAACAAAGAACCAATCACGACTTCAATGCATAAGATTGTTGCAGTGTCGACAAAGGTGTATATGAAAAAAAAGAGTGAGTGACAAAGCTCTGTGGTTGACAATCAGTCTCTATACTAATAACATAAAAAGCAGCGACCTATCCCAGCTGTCACAGGGCGAGCGCACAAATTACATAGAAGTAGAAGATTTTCGTTTTCGCTTCACAGTGACAACCTACTCAACTCATGCTACGACTGCCCTTCGTACCAGTCTGACCTCTACAAGCAAATGCTGTACTGGAGCTGCGTCAAAGCCCATTCAGATGAAAAACAAAGATCAGACAGGTGTTGGCTAGGTAAAGCTTTCCTAAGATGATTCCCCGTGAGATTCATGCATATTTAATGACGCTGCCGCCCCCCTGAGAGCACTCCGGGCAGGTAAAGTGGCGTGCGACTTCTGAGATTTCACTCTGAGACCAAAGCAGCTCTCAATGCTGCCTCAGTGCTTTCAGAAGAGCAAATATCTGCACAGTCTTACCCACGAGTGGGGAAAAAAAGTTACACAAAGAGTTCTCTTTGCTTATTCGTCTGGTAGGATTGAGTACGGGAAAAGAATAAGGGGTTGTGAAGTACTATCTGCACACAATACACTTGGTATACTTTAATTTTTGGTAAACCGGAGGCACTTCCAAGCATGCAGCTGGCATTTCACCCCCATATTAACATTTTATTAATTCCATTTTAATTAAAAACATTTTAAGACAGAGAGAATATAAAGTTGATCACATGTAAGAATGGCATAAATTCAAAATGAAGAACATGCAAGTGAGTTTATGCGATGAAGATTCATCTTAACAGTGCCAAAGGAACACCACTCCTGAAATGTTACCCAGTATGAGTCAGGCAAGAAGCTGTCATTACATCGCCGGTAGCAGCAGCTGCATACTGGCACTTGCTCCTGGAGTAGGCTGGCTGCAGATACATCCTCATTAGACTAGGGACATAAACACATGCAGCAAGTGTTGTTTGAGTGCACTCGACAGCCCAAAGGTCAGTTGTGTGCACCATCAATGTCAAAATACATCAGGATCAGTGGGTGTGCAGAGCTGTCTTGAGGAGGCTTTCCCTGAGTGATACAGATGGCTGTCGAGGGGGAGGGGGGGTACGCTGACAGGATTCTTTTACTTCTGACCTGTGGTAACACCAGTACCACCCTCACAGTTACTTCTCACAAAAAACAGGGAAAAAAAACACACTGTAAGGCTGTTGTAGGAAAAGTGCAGCTTGTCTTGTACGGCAAAGTGGCGCCAAATCTTGGCATCCACTTGCCAAGATTTCCCAGCCTATTTTAGCGTGCTGAAATCCAGAACCCCGCTGAACTCTAGTTAATCATGGATCAATAATGGATAGGAGGCATATTGCGGCTCATTCTGCCCCAGAATGCTCATCTCTAAAGGAGCAGCAGCAGCAGCAGCAGCAGCAGCATGACTTCAGTGGAGCACAAACTAAACTGGGGCCATTAAACAGAGATGAAAGAGGAATTTAAAAGTATGGATAAAAATGGAAACTAAAGTAGGGAGTGGAAGTGAGTAAGAAGCAGGTGCTGACAGGAATATTAAAGTCCAGCGTAATTTATACAGACGTATATAATGGACATGGAAGAAGCTTGATAGCACGTGAATGAAACTATATCTGACAGACACAACAGAAAAAATGTCTTGCAGTAATTTGATTCAATGGCTATAAAAAGGTATTTGTTATTCATTTAAAGTTTTTTTTTATCATAAGCTTCATGTTCTCAATAATTGATTAAAGAGCTATTTTGAGCATTTTTTGAGAGAACAACACACACTCTGTATCTGTAATCCATACATATTTATTCTAAGCAGGTTCTTGGGCATTCAAAGTGACTCAAATAACAAATAAAAAAAATATATTCGAAGAACTCAGAAAGAATACTAAAAAAAATTGTGGTGCTTAGAGTAGTGTGCTGATGTACTTCAGTGGTGTTGTTACAGGGACACATCAAAATATAATGCAATGTTCTTCCTGTGCACAACAAAGCCAGGAAAAAAACACAAAAAAATACAAAAAAAATACAAAAAAGAAGCAGAAAGGTTCAGTGCAGAGTTTTAGACTTAGCACGATAGAGCTATGGAGTCTGCTGTTTAGTACACACGGACAAAAAGACAAACAGGCCCCATCAAAGGCAATGTCATGGTGATGTGATAGTAGGCCTACTGTATTAGTAAATACAGGAAATGATAACAGAAAACTTTCTGCATTTTAAAAATCATAAAAAGGCCTTAGAGGAAGAATCGCAACCTCCTGAGATCTTGTTTGGGATGCATTTTTAATTTCTCCAAGCTATCTGGGATTAGCTAGACCTGATTATTATAAAAATGAAAGATCATCTCTGAACCGAAAGTAATTTTAAAAAGGCATCACTTCTTAGGTTGACAGCAAGTTTTTGTGCTTTTTTTTTGTCACCATTGCAACTGTGGAATTAAAGAAATTATTTTATGGCTACGATATATTCTGCATCATTAATGATATAATCTATAGTATTGATACTGCATTAAGATGTTTATTAAAACCTGCTGACTTTACATTAACCTTTTATTACAGGTACAGCTAAGACCATTTTATACACATTGCATGTTTGTGCTCATTCAGTGTTGATGCTCAGTCTATTAAAGAAGCTTTTAAGTTTTGTGAAGCACAATGTGTTCACAATCTATTGTGTAGGTGACTTGGATCTATAGAAGGTTAAAAGTGCATACACGCTTACAAAACACATATAGTGCATATAATCTAGAAACAGGCTTGAGTGAAGGCCTGAATGTATTCAGCTTCTTGTTGTAACCTGTGGCACTTGAGTTTGCTTAGCAACAGAAGACAGAAGATGGGTCAAAAAGAAGAAAAGTCCACGGGTATCTCCAGGGCCTGAAATCATCGCCATATTTGGGAAAAGATGTTAGAAAGAGGAACTTCTGTGTCTGACCTTAGCTCTCAAAATTGTCTCATTGTCTGTACAAGATGCAAATGATGTTCTTAGAAATACAAAAATATGTTATAGAACGCCAGAAGGGGCGTTTAACCCTGATGATATATAAACCATTCTCTGTGTATTTTTGGCAGAAGAAGTCCACAGATGTGATGCTGTGTACTTCACGTGTGTTCTTAATAAACTCTTTATCTGATTGCACTCTACTGGGCCTCCATTGGTTTGTTTTTGTGCCACTTGTTGAATTTGGGACACAACTAACTATGAAACGCTTTATTAAGCAGAATGAAGCAGAAAGTACAGAAAAACCTAAATGGAATGTTCCCATAAGAGGACGCAGGGTCTCAAGAGGTTAAACCACAAATTCATGTTAAACCACAAAGAGATAAAGACATTTTTGTTGCATCGTTCCTTTTTTGGATGTGAAAATAAACCAGAAACAACTTGTAGCAAAGTAACAGACGCAGATGTAGCCTTGTTCGGTTTAAAGACATTCACAGTAGGTCAAGAAAGTGCTAACAAAGAGCTCGAAAGCTACAAAAAACTGTTATGGAATGTGACATAACAGTTCCACGGGAGTATAAACGATATATTTTATTTTTTATTCTTTTGGAAAAACATTTCCTCTGTGCACAAAAATCTAATAATTTTCTGTAAGCTTGAAACAGCTTATACGTAGTAAATATCAGTATACTCATGCTGCACACTCGGAGAGAGCGTGAGAGCATGTTTAATACAATCACAACTCTAACATTTTAACGCTCCGTTTTGACCACACTCATTTTAGCAAATTTAATAGTTCACAGACCAAAACAATAAACCAAGCACTCATGGTAACATCATTTTATAGATAGATCAGAATCAGATGGCACTCCAGGATATGTCAGAGAGTCGGGTTATTAAAAATGCATGGCGACGGGTAAATTATTGTTGAAATTAGTTTGGATTATGCGGCTATCCATCCAAAACTGACATGAGATATGTTCCTAAAAACAAAAACAGCCTCTTAGAGTGTACAAGAAAAATCAGGGGACTGATTTCATGCTGTACGAACCCTGAATACTTGTATGAGAATTTCATAGCAATCAATCCAGTTGTTCAGTGACCATCAGATCCACCAACCGACTGAAGCTGCCGACCCCTGAAGTGCTGTTCAATGAATATTGTCAAAGAAATGTAACCTCCTAAACCCATACTACATAAAGAAACGGGTAGTTCCAGCCTCAGCCGTTGACAGTGAACAGACAACTGGCTTTTAATTGCCTGTAATTAGCCTCAGTGACACAATTCCAGCCCACTGCTTCTCCCTGATTGCAGGCTGCTGAAAAGGACATTTCACTTTCAGCCTGAGCTCATCTTGTTTGAAAGTGGACAAACTGAATTCACTTATCAAGACATTCGTGTGTGGGAGTTGGATATTGTTGTAGGTGCTTGAGGGTGGGC